ACCCGCGCCGGCCGCCTCAAGGAGTACTTCGTGTTCCGGGTAGGGCCCGGCGAGCAGCCGCCGCCGCCCTCCTCCCCGCGCCCCTGCCAGGGCCGCCGGCTCGCAGCGACAGCCCGCCGGACCCACTAACGCGCATAACCTCTTCCGTTTCCTGCTTTAGCCCGGAACGATAGAGCAAGCCGTTCACGAGATTCGCGTTGTCGTGATGCCGACCGAAGATGGAGAAGTGCAGAGCGTATGGCTGCTCACCGAGTAAGTAGCAGCGTGAACGGACGAGAGGGGCAGTGCTCTAGAGCAGTGATGTGCAGGGATTTGGCCCTGGCCGTCCCCGCGGAAGCTATTTCAGGACTGGTGTCTTCACCTAAGTGCTCTTACATTAATGACAGGGACATATTAAGACTTTAAAATACTTTTGCCAACCACTTACCATGGCTGTAGAAATGCACAAAGAGGCCTAGGGTAGGCCAATCCCATGACTACTTGTGTCCTCTACCCACTCTATGATTTAGACAAATTGCCTCGTACAAAGCAGAATCCACTCTATTAAAACTACACAAAAGTCCTGCCTGTATACCAAGCTAGTGACTGTCTCAGGGATTGTAAGAATACTCCATTAGCTCTGTCTCACCAGTCAACCACATGAAAGCTGAAAGGATGTCTTACATAGCCAGACTAGGAGATGGAAGCAAAACACAAGCTGAATGTTCCTCCCTCCTTCTTATGAATCAAATTTGACAAGACTTGAAAGCTCAGGCACTCCTTAGAGCGAGGAGCTAACACAGCCAATTACAGCCCTTTCAAGGTGGCACAAGTCAAACTGGCAGGGACTAATGGAGAAAAAGTTTCAAATTTTGGTCTCAGCAGCTTTATCTTAGTGTTCCTGCTGAAACATTAGACAGTTACTAATTCTGGCAAAGACCATTAAATCAATAGCCATAAAAATAAGCTGTAGCAGATTTTGAAGGTGCTCTTTTGAAGTCTGAGCTCACTACAGTTAGAGTGAAAATATGACCTACTCTAGACTAAATAGCGTTATAGCTGTGGTGGTTCAAGACTGGAGGATGGCAAAACATTTAGGGAAAGGTAACGCCTTTTAAAGTCTGAAAAAACAGACAAGCTTTTGAATGTGCAAACTAGTTATAGAAGACTTTCTCTCTCCCTTGAGCATGAACAAACGTGGTTGTTCTCAGTAAACACTTTAGTAAACACAGTATCAAGCTAACAGCACAGTATTAAACACTTACTGGAAGAGTTGTTGGAAAATGCCATCTGCTCCATTTAACACTGAGTAGCTGCAGCATTTGGTCTCAAACAACATGAGGTAGCTTTAGGGCTCTTACTTGAGATCTCAGACTTGTTCCAATGTTCTCAATATTTTTCTATTTTTGTATTTTTCTATGTTATGGCATTCAATCTCTTAGTAGACTGGCTGATTCAAAGCAAAGGCTGTAATGGAAAATATTGCGTTACTAAGACTTCAGTTTGTTCTCCTTAGTGGCTCTTCTACTTGACAAGCTATTAAATGATTCTAGACAGACAGGAAAACTGCTCAAACTCACAGCCTTTGTTATCTTACCAGAATTGATCACTGGAATAACGAGAAGGAGCGTCTAGTTCTTATCACAGATTGGTCCCTTCTGATCTGTAAATACGACTTCATTAGCCTGCAGTGCCAGCATGTGACAAGAATATCACTCAATGCAGTTGATACCATCTCTGTAGGGGAGTTTGAGTTCCCACCTAAATCTCTAAACAAGTAAGTTGACATAGTAGTACTGTAATAATACTGTTATTGTAAATAGTTTGAACTGTCAGCCTTTATCACTAAGCACTAGTCAAGCTTGAGAATTCTTTCTTGTGTTGATGTCCACTAGTTGACTTTGTAAATAATTATTAGAAAAAAATTAGAGAGTAGCTGCTGTCTTGGTGGGACACTTATTAGTTACATTAAAAGTGAGTCACTCAAGTACTTTCAGGATGAGATCAATAGATTTTAGAGCAGAAGTTCATCATCATTACATAATGCAGTAGGTGGCAATAGTACAGCAGCATTATTAGAAATGCTGTGTCTAAATATCAGGTCATGCTTAAGTGTAGGTTATCACAGACAATACTGCTTAGGCTCTGTCACCTAGATGTCTAATGAGCTTAACCTTTTTGCACTCAGCTTGTAAGAAAATATCTTAAAGTATTTTTGCATATTTCAGGGGCTGGATTTCAGTAACAGGTTTTCCAGATGTTGAATTACTCTTAACACCTTTTCTAGAGAAAAGCCTAATATTAAACTAAATTTTAACTTCCAGCTTTAGTTAGTGTTCATCATCTTCAGACGATACATGTCTAATAAAACTTGCTGCAAAGACTTAAGAGTCTTACCATATCAATTCTTTGTAATCTAATTCAGGCGAGAAGGTATTGGTATTCGAATTCAGTGGGACAAGCAAAGTCGTGCCTCCTTCATAAACAGATGGAATCCATGGTCCACAAATGTTCCATATGCCACATTCACTGAACATCCAATGGCAGATGCTGATGAGAAGATTGCATCCCTTTGCCTAGTAAGAAAATCACCTCTCCTATTCTAGATGGCTTTTAGCAATCAGAGGCTGGATACTACTTTGATTTGTCTGCTATATCTTTTCAAAATAATCAAGTGGAAGCAATTAAATCAAAAATATACAGAACTTGGAGTTGCAAGCTAAGTGTCCCCATCCTCCAAATTTTGACTCTGCAAAGCAGCACAACTAATGCTGCAAGTCAGTTTTTGCTGATTAATCATAACTGGTTTATACAAAAAGGAAGCTTAAACTTCCAAACATGCAAAAGTCCCATATAAAACTCCAAAGAAAATACATCTTGCTGCTATTCATACTTTTGTTTTGTTTACATGATGGGCAGATGCCTGACTTTTCATCTAGAACTGCAAGCTAATTAAACAAATAATCTATAGCTTCTAAATTTAAACCTTCACTTATTAAAAAAAAACACTGATTGCTTTCCTCTGGAGGTTTCTACTTGAAAATGGAATGTTACCAGTAATTTAGCTTCATTACATCAACTACAAAGGCAAGAGAATTATGTGGCTAATAATAAGCAGTATTTGGTACTGATAAATCTTTATGCACCTAGCTCACATGTTTAGGTTTACATATAGACAGTGTCCACATATGAAAATAACAGCATCATAAGAGGTTAATGTCAATGTAAAATTTATTATAGAGTGCGAGCTCCAGAACAACTACAGCTTTAGTGTTAATCCTTTACACTTCAACATCAGAAGCTCTTTGCCTATGAAAGCACAACAATTAAAAGAAAGGAAAAAATAACACCACAGTGATCTTTTCTTTCAGCTAGAAAACTTTAAAACTCAACTAATTCAAGCTGTGAAGAAAGCCCATAAGGAGTCACCATTGCCAGGAAGAGCTAATGGCGTATTAGTGCTGGAGCGTCCTCTTCTGATTGAAACTTACCTGGGATTGATGTCCTTCATCAACAACGAAGCAAAACTTGGCTACTCCATGACAAGAGGCAGAATTGGATTTTAAAGTTTGTTGCTTTTAATGTTTTCAAAGCAAAGCTATTTGAAATTAGTCTCCTGGAGAGAGTGGCAGAATACTCAATAATCAAAATGAAGTTATGGGAATAAAAGCAGTTGGCTGCAGAACCATCAGTTCACAGAAGTTATCTGTGATTATCATCATGAAGATTGCTAGAATGCACATCAGATTAATCTTAAGTGGACACAAGGTAGCATCGTTCTTGTACTTTGTATCTAGTTTTCAGTTTTTACTGGTTCATATGCAAGGCTAGTGAACAGTGGTATTTCCTCTTCCTTTCTAACTACATGCTCTTTGCCTGTTAACTAAGCGTGACTGGTATCTGCTACAGACACTCCACACAAATATCCAAGATACAGTAGCATGTTCATGCCATATCACAGTTGTATCCCTATATATAGTGTCAAATCATGTGGTGTGTTTAGGATTGATTTGTACTGTTCAAAGAGGTATTAGTGGCTCAAGATTACAGTAATTTTAGTATTTTGATTATTTCCATATCAAGAAATTTTATGGTTGTCAGTCATTCTGTAGCAAAACACTGAGACAGCAAATTTGGTTAAAGCCGTACTGTTATGCCCTCTCAGAAACAGCATATTTGAACTATTACTTTATAAACTGAAGTATATGGCTGAACATAAGTTCATAACTATTTTTGTAATAGCCTCCCTCTCAAAAATCTAATTGAATCTAAGTTGCAAGTTTCTTGCATACAATTTCTTGCTGCAACCATAATAAAGACCTGTCTTGAAACAATAGCCAAAAGCCTCGTGAACACATTTGCCTTCAAAGTTATTTACACAAAACATTTTTTATAACTTAAATTCTACTTTAATTAGATTTATATTCTTAGCAATTTTTCTTAAATCTACTCTAGTGTGGGACAGCAGCAGAGCAGGACTTTCTAATGGAGACTGATAAAACTAAGCAGTATACATCAATCTTGATTTATATAATCTTGCACTTAACCTCATACAAATCCTGAGTACAGAATGAATTTCAGATGCAGCATAAGAAATACAATAATCTCGAGCAATTTTGGTTGGAGTAACAAGCTTTTTCACTGTGTATGACCATCTACGTGTCATTTTACCATAGCATCTCTCTGCTACTATAATGCTGAATAAAATTCTGTGCAGCCGTGGTATTTTTCTGAACTTAAATAAAGTAGATGTATGTTTCTGAAACTTATGTAAAATGGAAGTGATGATGGAATGAATGCAACAAACTGCATGGCCTTCTTGATGCATTTTCTAAGATATCTATTTAACTTTTGTTAATCTTGTAGTAAAGTTAAATTCCAACTTAACTATTGTTCTTTATTCTTCATTTTGTGGAGACTGAGGATCTCAAGTTAAGCAGCAAAAGAAAAAAATGCAATAGATTCCCAAGGAAGGGAGCCCATTAGTTGGCAAAGATCAGTGGCAGGCTATTCAGAAGAGAGGTAAAAGACAATCCAGTCATTTGTTCCATACTGAACTGTCCACTCCAATTTGACACTAAACAGTCATTGTTCGCTCTCAACACAGTGGGTTTACAAGCTCCCACTTCAGTTCCCTGTTGTATAGCATGCCATTCTAGAGTAAACAGATAATGATCCTTTTTGAACCGATTCTATGTAATAAATCTAAAGTAGTCTAGGCACTACTACCATTACTGGTTAACATCTTAGTCTGGAAAAGGAAAGTAATTATTACAAGTGACTTCATTTGCTTTCTAAACATAGGACTCATTTTGTTTTAGCAGTAATCAACTCACTAGAAAAAGTGTCTTATTGATGTATCTACTTCTGCTACAATATTTATTTCTAATAGACAGAGAATCTATTGCCCTGCTGGGGTAGATATAAGTTGCATATTGCTATGTGCAAATAACTCTTTCCTTGTTTTGGGATACATAATAGCTATGCAATCACGTCACCAACAGTATTGTGCAGTTGCAGTTAAACCAAGAAAACTGTAGTGAAAGACTTTTATTTTCTCTCAGAACTGGAATGGAGAAATGCAGGCTTATAGTTAGGGTCATGCAAGGTATATAATTATCAAAATATTCATTGGGAATTATCAAAATTAAATAATGTCTATATATTTATACACACAGCTACAATTTTAGAAAAGGAGTTTCATAGTTGAGAAAGTTCAAGAGAAAGTTCAGCTACATCAATATTGAAGTTTCCTTAAAATCCAGGCTTCATTCTCTACGCTTTAGTTGCAACATCAGTTCATTCAAATACAATCACAGTAGTTCACACAGTGGAGTTTGTGCTCCTTCAAATAAATAATTTATTAGTACAAAACAGTTTCAAACTGGACAATAGGGTCTGACCTTTTCTCACTTTCTCTCAAACTTACTTTATGTTTTTAAACATAAATAATTATTTTACCTCTTCTCTTTCTAAGTAACACACACAAAAATTATCCTTACTCAGAAGTGCCACAGAATCTCCACTAGAATGCCAGCAAAGAGAAAGGATCTGGAAGTCACCTGTAGAAACAGATCAGTTTGTCAACAAGTCGTCCATCATCTTATTCGAGCCATCTTTTCTTAGGGTAACGGTCAGATAGACTGCTAAAGATACCTGCTCTCCCTCCCCCAGGAGGCTTAACAGGGTGATTGATTGATTACACTGCTATACTAGACCTGGTTTGCTCTCTCAGTATTTCAATACATGTAGGCTGCTGCAGCACTCACTCTTTTCCCCATTCAGGTAGCAAAATCTGCAGTTACTTTGTGCTCCATGTACAATCACAACCGAGTTTGTGGCCACATCGTTTTAATGCAAACAAATGCCACAGGTGTCCAGTGGTGCAGAGCTGCATAACCTGACAATATAGGTGCTAGCTGTATAGAAAAGACAAACTTATAACTTCGTGATGTTTTTCTGCCTAATACACAGAAAGATGTTTATGTGGTCTAGCTAATGGCCTGATACAACTCATTGCAAAACACAGAACACTTTCCATCATGCAGGCCGAGTCAGAGTTCAGGTCCCTTGTGTTCTTAGGCCTATCTTTATACATTAGATTCAACATGTTCATTCCCCACTGACTAGTGCTTTGTTGCAGTTTGTTTGTTTTCAGAATACACAAACTCATTCTAGGCATTTTAAAGGCTTTATTTCAACACTTGCCATTCTGGACAGCTATTGTTTCTATGTAAATAAACTGATAAGAGTATAAGTCTTGAGAAAGACGTCACCATATCATATAATTAAGTACCAATAAACTATTTTTAACCTGTGTGCCCTGTTCTTGATATATTTTTGCCATGTTTACTATGTCTCACTGTGAATGCCTTTTCTGTAGATAGAAATACCTGTTTTTAAGAAGCTCCAAGTACATTTCGAACCTTTACACAACAACGCTTTAGCCAATTTATAAGTGGCAAATATTTTGTAAATGAAAAGCCAATAATGACTTGTAGAGGTTGTTGCAGGCAGCCTTACCTTCCACTGGAACCTGTACTGACACACATCCAGCTGGGGACCATAAGTACACTTTGCTATTTCCTGTACATACAGCAAGTCGAGGTTGTCGTGGATCCCATTGGAAAGACTGGATTGCACACAACTGCTCCAATACTACAAACAGTTTCAGCTTTTGAATGTCCCAGATCCAGACAGCATTAGGAATATTATCTACAGAAAAGGAAAGAGCAATCATGTGACTATCAGAAGGAAAAATGGAACATGCATATATCTTTCCTTAAGAAACAGATATTAAATGAGGCCTAGCAATACACACACCATGTACAACATGGTGTACATGTAAACCATGTACAACACAGGTTTAACATCACTGCGGTTTCACCTAAACAGCACCTTAAATTTTGCTTTGCAGAAACTGCAAGAAGAATAAAGAGTTTATCTTCCGGTCCTTCACTAGCTTTATGAAATTATTTACAATTATGTTGCTGTTAGTAGGTTTTGCCTCTGAGCCACAAGTTTTGTATCCTGCAGTAAACAGCTCTCAGCCTTGTCAAGAGGCAAAATTAAGTGTTAGTTCCGTAACTTTATTTGTGCTAAACAAAACCCATTATAGACTTTGATAAATTCTGCCTTTTAAGGAGATATTTGCTGTAAATAAAGGCAGAAAGATTTGTGTTCCATTTTCTAATTACACACACACACAGGAAATTAAAGCACATATTAAACAAAGCCAAGATTGTGAGTTAAAGCAATGATAAGCAGGTCACAGCTCAAAATTTATTATGATGCTAGAGGACATAGGCCGATTTCCTCTGTAGCTGAGGAAGTCTTTGCACAATGATGGGCCAATTTTGAATAGGACCATGAGTTTTCCCATAGTGCAAAATAACTCAATTGTCCTTGTTTATTGTATGAAAATAATACCATTTACATAATAGATTTCTCCTCTAATAAGAGTCCATTAGGAACTTACCATTTTTGGTTGCCAAGAAACAGTTATCTGGACTGAATGCCAGCATTCCAATCCCGATTTTGGGATTTGCCCTATCAGCAATTGGTTTGACATACTGTAAAGAAACTGGCACCTGGGAAATGTCATCTGGAATTTGAAATAAAAGTACTTTACTAAGCAAGCCTGGACGGACAAAATAATATTTACATTCCGAGCCTTAGAAGTCGGATCTCCAAAATGAGAGGGCAGTATTTTACTCTTGCAAGATACTGCAGTCAAAAAATTCTCAATAGTTCTAAGGCTTTGCATCTCTCTTTTTTTCCCCCCTCTCTCTTCAAACAGCTTACTATTCTTGCCCTTCTACACCAAAAAAACCTGGAAATCCAGGCAAGTCTGAGATTAAACTATAAACAGTAGTCAAATCACATTTTCACCATTTTTTAACTGGTGTTTCAGACACCAGTGCAAGGCAAAGGAGTCAAAGTTATAGCCCCCTAAGTAATGAGACACTTAAAGATAGAAAAAATATATATGTAAATCAAAAATTTTCTATGACCATTTCACTGTTTGAGTCTGTTATCCGAAGGTAAGTTTAAAGTATTGCTAGGACTACAGCCTCTTAGACAAATTGCTTTGTTAAATCCCTTTCTTCTTGCTCTGCTTTTTCACTTAACCTCATACCTAAGGCATTAATTACTATTTAAAAAAAAGACAGCAAGAGTGCCTTTTGACACCTTTTCATTTTTGTTATTGTAGGAATCACCACACACAGGTTCTTAACTGCTAAAATAAGATGAACTATCAATTATCTGCAATAGTTAAAGTAATTGTAAGGCACAAAGCAATATTGTATAGACTGAACAAAAGAGGAAAAAATTCACACAGCGTTAAGGCAATTTTTGCAAGGAACCCCAGCATTGAATATCCACCTGCTATTTCTCCTTGGCCCAAGCAATTACAATTCTCTTCTATAGTATCTCCCTACTCTCTACTCTACCTTCAAAACACCATATAGACAGCACCCTATCTATTAGGACCCTTACTGTCCTTGGAAATATTTCAGATAATTCAGGAGACTTGAACATCCAGAGGATGTAATATCAAGAGACAGAGTTTGCCTGTAATGTTTGTTTACAGAAAGACTTCCCATGACAAACTCAAGTGTCTCATTTAGTAAACTTTGGCTTACATTTACTCTGTGTGCTGAAGAGAGAACTAGCCAATGCTCTCGGAGGGAAAGAAAGTCTCTCTGTTTCAACAGCTGGGGATTTCTCCACTTCTTTATACACAATCTACAAAGAAACAAGCGAGAGTTCTACAGAAGGGCTTAAGAGAATTGGGTATTACCAAGTTATCCACATCCCACTAGCTTATTTTCAAGTGTATTAGAATGCAATATCCCCTATTTCATCAAAGGAGGGAAGAGTTTCAGCAGGCAAATAATGAATCTGGAATTCTCAGTCATTCATTTGTAGTTTGCAACCGTGATCAGGAAAACACTTCTGTGATAAATAAAACCGGTCTATGAAGAATGAATCCAGCAGACTGCACCTCATTCATTATCCCCGAAAGTTAAATTTGGTAGTACAATAAATCTTTATTAGGTTAGGAACATGCACTTCATTTTTGTAACAATCTTTACTTGTATCCTATCATAAATAAAAAAAGTGCAACGTTGCAGGAGACAATAGTAAAGATATTTTAATACCGCACCTATAACTTAACTATTCCCAAACACAAAGCCCTGGAAAAAAGCATCAATGGAAATTCCAGTCTTTGTAATAAGGGATTAACAAAGCAATTCCCAGCTGTTTTCTACTACATATTTCACATCTAAGACCATGTTTCAGTAGGGAAACTTTTTGCTGATTTTCATTTTACAGATCCTACCTCTGCTTAAGAGGCATCAACACAGTCATGTTCATTTTGT